GAAGGCTAAAATATACACAAGCTGATTCTCTTTCCAGATCTTTTCATTTGGCAGAATCAGTGAGATAAATCTTTCCAATATTTTCACTCACGCATTCACATCGACTTCACTTACTTTGGTGAATGTGCCACCAATTTTTCACACAGATTTCAACTAGCACAAACATTTATGATTCTTTGAAATGTTACTGAAAGGAGGCTGTTTTTATTAAAAAAAAAAAAAACCAAGAAGGTTTTGTAATATTCTTGCTCATGTCATTTTTTTCTCTTCTTGTCATTACAAATGAGTAAATCGTGGGATGGTGCTTTTTTTGGTTGTTGTTAGAAAAAGAGACTGTCTTCGTTTCTTAGGGGAGGAACCAGAGTTTTGCACAGAGATTCTTGTGCTTGAGAACATACCGACAGCTTCCTTTAGGGACCCACGCCACATGATGCTTCGGTGTTTTGATTCTGAGCAGCCACTCTTCACACGAAGTCCCTATTCCCCCATCTAGGTTTCTTGGAAAAGTTCACTTAAAATTTTAATAGTTGTAACAGGCGAATGGGGTGCAGCTTCAAATACTAGCTGCACGGAGTCTGTGACTCCAGCTACCCCAAATCTCCTGGCGTCTGAAAATCGGGGATGTGGCAGAGACTTTTCTCTCATCAACCTTGGGCCGCGTATTATGATAGCCTCTTAAACTGGAGAAGGTCTGAGTTGAATACAATAGGCTGTGCTCCTATAGTGTGATTGGACTGACTGGCATCTCACTGATTCATTATTTTTACCCCCAGAATAATGGCTCACTGCCTAGGGGTTCGTTGGGGGACAGTAGGGTTGCTGCTGTTAGGCAGCAGAATGACTGAAATCACCAACTGTGGCTTTAGAAGAATGCTGAGTCCCAGAATATGGGAAAATGTGTGTAGTCACACATTTATACAGTGCTACCATCTGATTGTTCTGGCTGATTTAATGATGAATTCTGCTTGTTTTGTTTTGTTTTTTATGATTTCTGATTAGCCATTATTATGGCAGGAAAAAAGTGAACTGGAAATAATTGTAGGTAATGCCAGTGGTGATGATTCAAGCCTTTGTTACTCTTTTCGAAATGAAAGAAGAAGGCTAATTGCCTCATTTAGTTTTGGTAAATTATTAATTTCTCAGGCTAATTAAAAGAGTGAATCAGGCAGAACTGAAGGACTCAAGCTTTGTGGAATTTTTCTTTTAACAAAGTATGATACGCCTTAAAGATCTTGATAAATAGAATTGAATTTATAAAAATTAGTTAATGTAATATGATGGTTTTATGGGGGAAAAAGTCGCTGCCCTTATTTCTAATTAGTCTTAAAATGATTAATAAACATGGGTGGTGATTGTCCTGTAAATGAGGCATCTTCACTGAAAATATCTGTGCACTAATAATTTCTAGTAGTGCTTCCGAAAAGCAGCATTTGAGTTAATCAGCTCCAACCTTTTTATTTGCTTTCAGTTTTGGTTATATATTGCAAAGGTCATAAATGTGTAATTTGTTAAAATAAGAAAAAAAACCTTACTTTCTGCACATAATCATAAGAGGATATAAAAGAATATAGGCTTCAATCTAATATAGGCTTCAAACATTTGTATTTAGGCTTTGCAAAGCGTTAGTTTATGGGCTGCTAGAGCCATTCCAGAAAAGCACAATGAAGTTGTATACATCAAAGGTAAACAAATTTAAGTATGGCACGGGGAGGCAACATTGTATCCAAGTCTTCCATCATTGTTGATGGTCAAACAGAATCAAAAGACAAAGCCAATGACAAGTTTGGTATTCCACATTAATTTCTTTTTACATTTTCTGGAAAATCATTCGTAACAGTAATACCGTAAAAAATTATACAGCAGTCAATACAGTCCAGCTCTTGTGTTTATTTTACCCAGACAAAAGCATCCAAATGATTCTCATCTCTTAGGAATTCAATAAGTAACCACTGCAGTTAATGAATGCATTTTAAATGTCATTTTTAAATATTAGGAGCCTATACTAAGGAATAATAGTTTGAATTAATAAAGTGCTAGAGCCGACAGAGTAAAAGCTAGGCAACTAGATGGAGACTTGCTGATATTGGGGAGAATGCAGCTGGTGACAACAATCTCCAAGTCCTTAGGATGACCTCAGCAGTGACAGCATTCCAAGACAGTTGCACCTTTCAACTTCCTACTTGAAGAAGTTGTCCATAGATAAAGATTCAGCCCAAGAACTGAGGCTATTACCAGCTCCAAAAGAAACAACATGTTTCATGGTACATACATAGAGGTATGTATGTACTTACTAAAAAAAGTGGTGGGGAGATAAGGAAAACAAGGGATCATACCTTCGATCAAGGCACGCTGAAGAAATAATGGTATTTTGTCATATTTGGGATTTATGAACAATCACCACCTGACCTCATGCTCACCCCTCAAAAGAAAAATAGTCACCCCTGCAAATTTTTTTCAGTGATCTGTTTCAAGTGTTTCCCGCATATAGTAGGGAACAGTCTGGGGATTAAGAAAGCTTGTTTTGAATGGGCCGCCTTCCAGTCATCACAAAATTGTAGACAAATCTATCTTTTGAAAATATAAACAGCTCCAACCCATACCTCACTTGCTTGTGTGTATAGTTCCTATACATCTTTATTATCAGATCTTCTAGGGCCAAGGATGCAAATCTTTTATGGAGACAGAAACAGTTATCTTCTCATTTAGAAATGAATGATGTTTGCTTCTGAAAAGCATCTTTCCTGTGTTGTGATAGCTACATTATAATTTTGAGTTGTTCAACTAACACTAAACAAAGATAAGCATAATGTCTTATTTGAGAATGCCGGCTTTGAAGGACACAGACCTCTAACAACATACCGTTAGCCTACAGCTAATATATAATGCTAATATAATGCTTTGTATAGGAAAATGCATATCTGCTCCCAGTCCATGTTCAGTGTGGATGGAAGGCTTTTATTCAATGGCTGCGGGTTGATCTAAACAACTTCTAAGGTTCTTTTTAAGTCTAAGATTCAAGTCTAAATTCAAAAAAACAAAATTTAACTATTTAATAATAGCATGAACAAGTGAAAAAAAAAAACCAGGCATTAATATTTCATGTCAGTTGTCACTATAACTGTAAAAGGAAAGTCCCCAAAGCCTGAATCTATGCATAGGGAAAAGACTGGAAATAAATACACTAACATTTTCTTAATTGTGGCAGGGCTTGTGTGGTAGGATGTAATTTTTTCCCCCTCAATGAATATATATTACTTTTAATTTTTTTAACGTTTATTCATTTTTTGATAGAGCTAAAGCGTGAGTGGGGGAGGGGCAGAGAAAGAGGGAGACACAGATCTGAAGCAGGCTCCAGGCTCCGAGCTGTCAGCACAGAGCCAGCCCAACACAGGGCTCGAACTCATGGACCGTGAGATCATGACCTGAGCTGAAGTCGGACGCTTAACCGACTGAGCCACCCAGGCGCCCCGAATATACATTACTTTTAAAATGAAAAGTAGTTTATTCTAATAGCCAAGGTCACAGAATTTACAGTGAAAGTTTCACTTGGCTTGAGAAATAAGAACTCAAATACTGTTTTGCTCGATGGCATTTTCTACTCATCTACAGCGGCGTCTTGAAGCATGATACATCAACAGCATTTATTTCTCAGACAGACACATCTTTGTTGTCCATAAAGTTGCCTTAGTTGCAGCGTTCCTATTTTGGGTGTGTGCGTGGGGGGAAGACCTCTCTTTGCAAGACATCATTTTGCATGGCGTCGTGTTAATTAAAAAAATAAGAAGACAAACATAACCTCCGTTTAGCTTTCCTCCACACTCATGCTCCAAGTTAAACTCATTTGGCGTTTCAGATCGCAGGGGTTGTGCTAAAGCTGAGCTATGTTTGTAGGGAATGTCCGTCCTGAAGTGCCAAGTTACGGGAACCGATCATGCAGAAATCTGGCCTGAGGATCATCAGGGTAGGAGGCCTCTGGCCCATTAAGGGAAGAACTGAAATGGTTCTTATCTCTGAGACCTTCGAACACCGAACACCGGCCTCCCTGAGAGGGTGCCAGTAAGAATGAGCCATGACTCAAAGTAAAGGAATGTTCAGAGGCTCCATCTGACTGGCTTCTGGAGCCTTTAACCCAAGCTTCACCTTTCGTTCTTTTTTTTTTAAACCTATCTCATTCTCTATGTTTCCCCCATTTGTGCTGTCCTAAATATCCATATTGCTTAACCCCAAGATGTAGGACACATGCACTAATATATGATTGAGGAGAGGCCAGAGTATTTAAAATTAGGGTTATTTTAAAAAGTCCAGTTTTTGTAATAATTATGGTCATAAATTCAAACTTGTAGATTTATAAAAGGGGCTTCTTCTAGAACGAAAACTCAGACAACTTCCCTTAAACTCCACTTCTGGACAGATGTTAGCAAAACACAGCCTCCCATTTTGGTCTGAGCTCAGCCTGTGCTTACTAAATACTTGCTGAGGCACCCGCATGCCAGAGCAGGTACTGCGACATGGTGAGGGATCACTGGGGATTTGGTACTTTGGTCGTATCTATTTTTTTTATTAATTTTTAAAAATATTTATGTATTTTTGAAAGAGAGGTTACAAGTGGAAAAGGGGCACAGAGAGAGAGAGAGAGGATCTGAAGCAGGCTCTGCCCTGAAAGCAGAGAGCCCGACGTAGGGCTCCAACTCACAAACCGTGAGATTATGACCTGAGCTGAAGTCGGATGCTCCACCGAGGGAGTCAACAGGTGCCCCTGACCCCATATCTTAGCAGCTCGTATTGGTGAGATCAGATTTTAAACATTAGGAGAAGTCTGGAATGGAAAATTAATTTGCGGAAGGGTGCAGTACAATTTTGGATGTGTACTATATACGGAAAAGGAAATTCAGAATTTTATCCATTTCGTCCTGGTGACAATAAGAGATTGGGTGGTCAATAAATGCATATGTGTGAGCCTTAAACTTTCCTTTCTTTCTGTTGCTTTTTAAAGTACCACGTGATCTCTTTTTCTCATGTGTTGCCTCTAAGGGATGAACTGGAGGTGGGACAACGCTCAGGCATTCCTGCAAAGGACTATCTACAAGTGACGGCTCCCCCTGGGAACCTTGTTTTTTCCTCCTGCAGTCTTGTCTTCTATCTAAGGTAATGTTGATGACAGGTATTATTCTTCACCAATCCACCTCGGAGGCCAGGGGCTAAGCCACCACCAGCATTCAGATCCCTTCTCTGAAGAGCTGAGCTCTCGCCTGACCTAAATCGCATTCATCTTGCATGACCACTTTTACCCTGCAGCAGCCGGGGCGGGGGGCAGCCAAGCACCATTCTGAGAACTGGTTCCCAGGTTTGGTCCTGGGCGGTGGTAGAGGAGGCAGTTTATCCATTTCCTTTCATTCATTTGTCAGGTATTTATTGAGCGCTTGCTGTGTGCTCTGCCCGGGAGGCTCAGAGTAAAGAGAACAGACACAGCAGTCCTCACCTTCATGGATAGCCCAGATCACGCTCCCTGCCTTTGGGGCCTGTTTTCTCCTCCTTTGCTCTTAATGATTTTTAGGCTCAGGCTCTTCCTTTCTTCCAGTCAAAGGTCTAGGGCAAGGATCTAATAAACTCATGCTCTCTAAAGGTTAAACTACTCAGGATGTTTCTTCTCCTGGGGGGATTGTATTTGAACTGAAAGCAAAGTTTTAATCCAAAGCAGTTTCTAATGACCCTTGTAATGGTGATGTGGAAGGCAGTCCTGGTGTCTAGGAGGTCCTATCGCGTGGGCAGCTCCCACCTCACTGTCAGGAGAGGCCAGAGGCCTTCTGATCAGAGCCTGGTGGGAGGCGGGTACCATACCAGCCCCACCAAGAGCTCCCACTAAATTGAAATCTCTATAAACAATTCGATGTGCCAAGTTCTTTTTCTATAGTGTTTTATTTAGGTCTTTGAGGAGCCCTATGAGACACAGGTACACGTTACTCTGAATGTGTTTTTACCGAGGAGAAAATGGAGGCTTATGAAGAAAGTGGAAAACTGGAAGGGACAAATGCAGGAGTTGATCCTGAAAAGGCAGATGTTGCTAAAGCATAAATTACAAATATGTTTTCAATGCATTTGCAGCAGTTATATAGGAAAACTACAGTTTGGGAATATTTAATCAGTTTAGTAGGAATACTTGTTTAAAAAGGGATACCCAGGGGTGCCCAGATGGCTCAGTCGGTTGGGCGTCCGACTTCGCTCAGGTCATGATCTCACGATCCGTGGGTTTGAGCCCAGCATCGGGCTCTGTGCGGATAGCTCGGATCCTGGAGCCTGCTTCGGATTCTGTGTCTGTCTCCCTCTCTCTCTGCCCCTCCCCTGCTCACGCTCTGTCTCTCTCTGTCTCTCAAAAATGAATAAACATTAAAAAAAATTTTTAAAAAGGGATACCCAGTTTATGTAGCTGTCTCTCTACACTTGGGAAACCTCTGGCTAAGGAGAGGTTCTAAAATCCTTTCCTTAATTACATTTTGCATACAGCACGATTGAGGGTCAGTTTAATTTCAGTGTTTTTGGAGCTTTTGAAAATAGACATGGTCAGATAGGCATCAGATTATTAGATTAATTTAGCTCATTAGAATTGCCTCAAGGAAAAATCCTCTGTCTTTTGTAATTCTCCTGCATGGGCAGAATATCACCATGATTACATAATGCAAACCCTTTTTTGTCGAGTAAACTTAATTATAGAACTCCAGAACTGAGAATTAAAGAAGAATGTAAAATAAAATCTGGGTGAAGACCTGGAAGAATTGAAGTTCACAATAATTATTAAATTAGAGACACCTGTTTCAAATGCTAGACCCTAATTTTGTTTAGCTTTGTTTTAACATTTTAAACTTCTTGGATTATGTCATGGTCATATGGCAGAAGTCCATCAAAAAGAATGAAAAAATAAGTGGACTGTACATAGATACAGCCAAATTTTTCCAGAGAACATATATGTCTTTTAACAAGGTGCTTGTCTGGGCATACTTCTTTTTTTTCCTGATGGAAAAAGCACATGGGTAATATAAATTAATCTCACAGAGTAAAGACAGACAATGGCTCCATCAGGTGGCTCATTCTAAGTTTTTTGTATTTGCCACTTCTTCCTCTTGGAAGGTGTCCACATCATTTAAAAGGAAATAGAATGTGAATATCATTTACTCTAAAATTCATACCTGTGGTTCTGATTCCAAGTTGATTTTGAAAGGATGAGCCTTCCCATCTTCAGATACCTGTGGAGACCATAAGCGAGTTTCTGCCCTGTAAATAAAAGAAATTTCGTAAGCTCCAAATTCTAATGGTACTTTCAGTATAGTATACTTTAATCTCCCATAATATTTATCGAGATACTATCAAACCTTGATAGTTTAAGCAAAAGCAATGTTCCCTGGTCATTATTCTGCACTCTCCCATCTAATTAGCTTTTTGCATACTTTTGGGGAAACTTGAGTGGATAAAAATTGCATGGAGGACTACTATAGACTGAAGTTTGGGTCCCCCCCCCCCCCCCGGCCCCCGGGGGGAGCCCCCGGCCCCGGGGGGGGGGGATTTGTCGGTGAGGTCTCTGGGAGGTAATTAGGATTAGAGTAGGTCATGAGGGTAGAGCTGTCATGATAGGATCAATGTCCTTACATAAAGGGGAAGAGATCTGAGGTCTCTCGTCTCTGTGTGCATGCACCAAGAAAGGCCATGTGAGGATACAATCAGGAACCTGACTGTGCTGGCACCCTGGTCTCAGACTTCCAGCCTCTAGAACTGTGAGAAATACATTTTTGTTGTTTAAGCCACCCAGTCTATGGTATTTTTGTTACAAGAGCCTGAACGAAGGAAAAGACATTGTACGGTTTCTGGAGAAAGTAGGTTGGCAGTGCCTGCAGGCAACAGTACAGGAGAGGAAGACCCTGGAGGCAGAGGACCACAGGGCAAATGCTCTAGGCTTCCCTCCTTCCCTCCTTCCTACCCAGGCCACTGCAGGAGACACACTGAGTGGTCGGCCAGGGGGATTTACCATTGGCATCAAGGAAATGAGCTTTGTCCAATCTCATGTCCTTCTCATGTATCTGTTTGGGACCATGTGCTCCTAAGGGACTGTGTGCTTGGCAGGAACACAGGTCGTGGGTAAATAGGAAAAGAGTCAATCTCACCCCTGAGATGGCAATTGGCTGATTGATTGTGCCTTCTGAACCGCAGCAGGGAAAGTTGGGAATACAATAACAGCAGGATAAACACACACTAACAACCACTATGTAATGTGAAAACATTATTTTCACAATGGGCTATGGCAAGAGATCAGGTTCAATTTCCAATTTTTTTTTTTTTGTTTTTTTTTTTTTGTTGTTGTTAGAAATGTCTCATTCTCTAACGCTCTCACTCCACAGGCACTCTTATACCTGGTCAGATTCTTCTGGGCTGAATTCTGTACAAAACAGCCAATGGCATACAGGGTATTAGCAACTGGTTTTCAACATGATCCCATTTTGGTAAGTCAAGAGATTCTTCTGGAGAATCTTTAAATTCCATCCCATTCTCTACTGCATTTAGAACAACAGTACAAGTAGCTGTCCCGTACATTGTTTCTGTGGCCAGTACCTTTAATGGTGCTATTAACAGGAAAAAGAATTCTTTTAGCCTCTTTCGTTATTGTGACATTCCAAAGAATTCTTTTCAGAAGTAGTTTGTTAGCAACTACTAGGCTGACTGACATCAGTGAAGAACAGACCAAAGTGGCTGATATGTTTAAAAAAAGCCAGTCAAAATTCTAGGCCCTGGGACACTCCTTTGCACTGGGAGGATGAAATCATTTCTAGTTCTAGTTCAGGTTCTCCTGCAAAACAGATCACATTTTAACACCATTAATTAAAGAGCACCTGTCAATTTTGAGGCACAGCTGGTGGCCTGCTGCTTTAATCCTGTCCTGTGCATCCGCGTGAGTCATGGACTCTGTACCAAAGCCATCAATAGCCAGGATGACATCTCCCGGACACAGGTGGGCAGCTGCCGCCTTGCTTCCTGGAGTAATCTGGAAGAAATCATGGCATCATTTAAAAACCAACATTCCGCACTATCTTGAGTTTTGTGACTGACATTTATATTTTCAGCTTGGTAACATTTTAAATGTTTCACTGGGCAGGGACTTTTATTTTTTTTATTTTTTAATATATGAAATTTATTGTCAAATTGGTTTCCATACAACACCCAGTGCTCATCCCAAAAGGTGCCCTCCTCAATACCCATCACTCACCCTCCCCTCCCTCCCACCCCCCCTCAACCCTCAGTTTTTTCTCAGTTTTTAAGAGTCTCTTATGGTTTGGCTCTCTTCCACTCTAACCTCTTTTTTTTTTTTTTTCCTCCCCCTCCTGCATGGGTTTCTGTTAAGTTTCTCAGGATCCGCATAAGAGTGAAAACATATGGTATCTGTCTTTCTCTGTATGACTTATTTCACTTAGCATCACACTCTCCAGTTCCATCCACGTTGCTACCAAGGGCCATATTTCATTCTTTCTCATTGCCACGTAGTACTTCGTTGTGTATATAAACCACAATTTCTTTATCCATTCATCAGTTGATGGACATTTAGTCTCTTTCCACAATTTGGCTATTGTTGAGAGTGCTGCTATAAACATTGGGGTACAAGCTGGGCAGGGAATTTTAAATCTAACTTAAAATAACTCTTAATTGGTCAATTGTGTTAGCTCTATTTTTCCACCATGCTAAATATTTTTGTTTTTTACTAATGACATGTCATCTATAATGACCTCTCTTATTCTCTTTTAAAACATCTTCCTTAAATCCCTGCTTGAATCATATTTTCTTTGCTTTAAACCAAACAGTTCATTCTTTAGGTATTATTTCACCCATAACTCTCTATTTGGGAACACAACTCCCCCAAATTAGGGAGCTTTTATATTTGAATTAAAACTACTCTAGCATCCCTGTAAGTAGTGATCTTTGAAATTCACATGAAGGGGGATCTAGGCTATAGAAAGCTAGAAAGAGAATGACTCCTGCATTAATAAGAAGAAGCCATATAATATACAAAATTATAACCTTTAATGAACTATTCAGAGAGCTAAAGCTGCAGGGCAACCAACTGGCCTGGGATCCAAGGAAAGACAGGTGCCTCCATGGAAAGTAAGCAACTCATATCACTGTTTCAGAGCATAGAGGAACATGGGACCACCATTTTAGCCATAAAGAAGAATTCAGCCAAAATTATGAACAAATTACTAAAGTTAGCATTGAGATTCGAGAACCCTTGGGGATGGCAGACACAGGGAAGTTTGCATCCATAAACAATCTCTTCTCCATGAATGAAAAACAGATTGAACAAATAAAAACAACTAACAAGATGCTAAATTTTAATTGAACCTTATCAGTAATTACATTAAATGTAAATGGTCTAACCATATTCTGATATTTTAACAGCGATTGTCAAACTAGGTAAAAAAAAATATCCAGTATTATGCTGTCTACAAGAAACCCACATGGATTTCTCTTTTGGAAGGGTGGGCTGGGGGGGGGGGGATGAAAGGAATACTTAATGGGAAACATATGGTTATTAAATTTTTAAAAGATAGCAAATTTGAAATTATTACCATGTTGAGTATTCAGTGTTTGATTGCTATACCTACTCCTAATCTTTCTGGGTAAATCCCAATTATTTACAACCACCTAATAGTCCTTACCTGGTCTTATCCTACCTACTTCTTTCTCTAACATCATCTTATACCATTCCTGCTCCCATCACCCACTGTGCTGTAGCTATTGCAGTTTCCTTTTAGTTCCTCAAATAGGGCAAGTGTGTACCCTCTTCAGGGCTTCACATGCACTGTTCTTTTTGCCCAAAGTGTTTCCCCCACTCTTCACCCAGTTGCTTCTCCTCATCCTTTAGGTCTAGACTTAAATATCACATTCTCAAAGAGACTTCCCCAAACATCTGAAGTAGCTTCTCCAGACCCTCCCCCATCATTCTCCACCATTACATTTTATTCACTTCCTTCCTGAAGACAATTTGTTTTTTAATGTTTGTTTATTTACTTGTGTATTGTCTTGGCAACCAGACTGGAAGTTCTTGAGAATATCTATAGTAGCATGTATATTTCTAATACATTGCAGTGTATATTCCAGTGTTTAGAATTAATGGATAATTAAAAATGAAGAAGTGGATATTTAAATAAGCTCATGGAACAAAAAGACCTACTCTCTACAGAACCAAAGATTATAGCTATTAATGTCAACCCATCATTGTTACATCTGCAAATTTCCACTGTTTAGAGCAGAAGAATGCATAGGATTTGACTTAAACCTCTAGCTGCTCCAGGAATAAACTAGGTTGTTCTTAATATTTTACTTGAGGATAGTCATTCATTCATTTTTTTTCTCTATTTACTTAATCTAGCTATCAATTCTGTTTAACATTGTTGCTCTAAGGGATATCCAAGTTTCATCTAAATGAATAAAATTGCTGAGGTAATAAATTCTCATACTTTGAGATCTTCAGTCTCATCACTAAAATATTTGTTGTACTCACTTCAGTTCTGTGATCATGTCACTATAGTGATTGTCATCATTTTCTGATAGGAACAGTTAATAGAAGCTTGGTGAAGACAATGGGGATTATTAGATCTCAGCCTTTGGGAGACATTTCATAGCTGTTTTCCACTTGGAAATTCTCCCAGACCCAGAACTGTTAGAAGAATAAAAGTTTCCATCCCTAGTGTGACTTGCAGGGATGAAAATAATATTAAACTTTTAATTTTCTCTAGCTATAGTTTGTCAAAATCAGTACTATCTATTTTTAAACTCCTAAGACCAGAAGTCTTTTCTTTGAGTTAAAACATGTTAGAACCTGGGGTTCTTGCTTGTCATAAAGACTCCTATCATACCCTAAATGCCTGGAATCACAAATCATACACTCTAGGAGAGGAACGAGGGAATTTTTGTTTCAACAAATGCCTCGGGTGATTTCCATTATTCATATCAATGTATTGTTTGGGTCCATTTGGAAAAAAACGAATTTAAATCACAGGTAAAGCATCTATAATATTCTACTTACTGCAGGAGACAGGAGGGAAGCACAAGATATGGCCGTGGTGACACGTTTATGTTAAGAATAAAAATGATTAAAATAGTTATGAACAAGGCAAGTATATACTAAAGGGCTGTGCTGTGGGGTATGAGTTAAAATAGTGAGAGAGCCCATTGTTCAGTTGTTCTCTGTTGCCTACAAATAAACTCCAGTGCCCTACCTGGCATCTAAAGCCCTCTGGTGCCTGGCTGTAATCTACATTTCTAGGGCCATACCTCAGACCAATCACATCAGAACCTCTATACATAGCGCCTGGGCATGAGTATTTTCACAAGTTATCTGGGTAAATCTACTGTGCAGCTGGGGTTGAGAACTATTATTGGTATCGTATTACTGAGAACTATTATCTCACTGAATTCTCAAGACACTCTTTTAAGATGAGAAAACTGATGCTCTCAGAGTAGAAGAAGCTTGCTTAGGGTCACACATCCTGTGAAAATCTGTAATTCCTGGTAGGTCTAACTCTGTAGCTCAAGTTCTCTCACCATCCTACAAGGCCCCTCCTGCAGGCAGTCTTTGCCCTGACTCCTCCTACCCTTGGCCATACTTTTCTCATGGAATCCTGGACAGGCTGTGTCATAGAATCCTGGACAGGCTGTGTTATGTATGTATATGTCCCTTCTCCTATTCGAGCGTCTCAGGGGCGTAGAAACCCATTACATTATAACTGTATCCCCCACAGTGCCTTCCACATACAGTACATTCTGCAATTAATAGATATTTGTGGGATATTTGTGCAATTAATAGATATTTGTGCAATTAATAGATATTTCTGCAATTAATAGATAATTAATAATGAATGTTATGAACCAGCACTTCCATGCAGACATGTCTTTGGTAGAATAAAATTCAACAAGTTTTCCCATTGACCTTCCTACTGCACTTGAAATCCTGGTAAAGGATTGCATTCAACTGTAAACATTTCTTTCTAACAACTCAAATTTCAAATATAGTTTATATTGGAGTAACATACTTTTCTATGTTCAAGCCTGCAAAACTTCAGAATATAGTAACATTTTCTATATTGGTACCCAAGTCCATATAGTGTTCTCAGTTAGCCGTGATCTTGGTGGACTGTGCTCTGAATAGGAAGGAGGGAGGAGGAGGGGGAGGGAGAGGCATTGAGTGGGAAAGGACATACCAGCATCAGATGTATACAATAATTTTACATCTCATACACAAAAGAAACTTGTACTTTATTCCAAATTGGACCATTTGTGCAAACAAACCATCTGTAACTTGGCTGTGATAGCAGATCCACCTTCTGGGTGGTCCAAACATTTAAAAAAAGAAAGAGACTCCTTAGAATCTTCTTGCCAGAAAAAGAAAAGCTGCTCACTTAGAGATGTGAGCCTCAGATTTATTCTGTGAAATGCAGAGGCCAGTAATGTA